CATACCAGCTGGCCTCCCCTTCCCTAGTGCTGCTGTTGGGTCACCATCCTGACCATTTTCAGTGCCATCTCTCCTTGATCAGACGGTACCTAGCATAGAGATGAGAGCACATGGTAATCACCTGCTTTATGGAAGCAAGCATATATGTATCTCCAGTTTTCTTGCTGATAGTGGTGCATCCCACCCCAAGAAGTATATCATTTACCATGTGTCCAGCCTTAAGAATCCAGAAGAAAGCAAAGTTCTCATAAGCCTTGTGGAAAGCAGCTGTCTCAGTGGATTCTGGAGACACATAGAGTGCCTTCCACCTTTGCTGGTTGAACTGGCCCAAATTAGGCCATTTCAGTTTCCGGATCCATGCCTCCTGGCCTGTTGGAGGTAAGAGATATGCTTGATTACCAATACTGACATAGCAACTTGGGAGTCCCAGTTCAACTGGATGCCCACTGTACTAGACAGCAATACAGCAGAGTTAGCAGAAAGTCTCTGTGTGCTCAGATTCTAGACCAATTTTGTTATGCCTAGGAAAATGACCAAGGCTGTGTTCAGGACAAGCCGAAACAAACCAAGGGAGGGAGAAGGGAAAAACCCAACAATGAAGGTGTACTTGAAATGGACTTATGATTGCTCAAGTTGAACACGTGACTCTCAGAGGCTCTGCAGCCCTAGCAATTCTGACATATTTTGCTTTACTCCTCAAACAACTTGAACATCCTGCTACGGAGAAGGATCAGCCACACCAAGCCTCTCTCTTGAAAATCAGAAGAGACACTGCTTCTCTGTTTGTTACAGTCACTGATCAAGAGGGACCTGGAAAGGTTTTCTATTTTCAGGTGCCTGCTAGAGAAGGCAGAGGTCAAGCCAGCAAAAAGACCAATTCCAGGACACCAAGGGGGAGAAAGCGTTAGCCCACCTCTGAGCTACTGGAAAAATTTACATGTTAACTGCAGCTCAATTTTAACGCAAAATGTGACAAACTGGAGCACCACTAACTGCTAATCTGTTTTGACAGCCTAAATACTCTGTTTCCTGATTTATTGATTGCTACGTTGTTCATGAAGGGCATCTGAATATCTAAGTGGGCAGAGACAGACAAAGGATAAAGCCTTTCACAACACAGGAAAACGTTTGCGCAGTCTGTGACTGTGGGTTACTTAAATCAATGAGAAAATGTGAATGGAAGACAGCACGGCAGTCTTGCAGCATGAAACATTCCAGCAACACTTGGCCTGGTTCCCAAACCGCCACTTGATCAAGCCTGCATCTTGCAAGCAGCAAGGGACAAACAAAAGCTTTGAGTGGCCAAGACATGCAGGTGCCTACCCATGTTACTGAGCAGCAGGTGTGATCGTTCTTCAACTGCACCTCCCTGATTAATTACCAACACCCTTGTTCCATCTCACCTGGCACCATGCTCTCTGCTGAAGGTCACTCAGTGAAGGCTATTAGTACACTATGTGCACTCAGTATTGTGCACAAATCTGCAGCAAGATACGGCCTTTGCCCCAGAGAACAGAATCTTCAAGGCACAGCAGGAAAAGAGAGGATAATCTCCATGTATTTATTCATGTATCCTCATTCTTCATTTATGAATGAGCATACCTACTTATGGGCTTCACTGAAACAAGCAATTATTGATGTTGCAGATCCATTTCCCAACAGTATAATGGAGGTAAAGGAATTGCCTTTCTCAGAGGGACATAAACAAAGCATACTAAGAGCTGCTCATTTATGACTAGTATTTAAGCGTTGCCAGTTAGATAGATTTGCAGAGAAGATTGGAGAGATCCAGGTACCAATATTACTGGCAACTTCGCGTTCTACTCATCACTTCCCAACCCCAGTCAAGAAGTCCCTTACCCATGGTGTCAACAATGAGATCCAGCTGCCCGTTATAGACTGTAACATTGACATTGGCTGCCAAAAGCTGATCAACGATACCAATGACGGGTTTCATGAAGTCCTCAGCCATATTCTCAAAGACATCTCTGGACTGACCTGGTTGGAACCAGAAAGAAGACAAATTTTAGCTGATGAAGAATGTCATCCCCAAGCTGGGATGGAAGCAGTTGGCTCAGGGTCCTAAAATGCAGTTCATGGCTGTATAAAAAACAGTCCTAGCCCCAAAGGGCAGCCAGCAATTCATCAGTCTGAGGAACTAAACAGAACCAGAAAGCAGCCATGCTCCCACTGGAGCTCACACACAGCATTGTAGCTGCTGGCTCCTATTACACACATACAGAGTGCCGGCATCAGTCCTTTAAAAACTTTCCTTTCTGTTTTACGGCCTCCCCTCCACACCAGGCAGTATTACATGACAGCAGACTTCTGGCAGAGAAAAACTGACAGGAATTTCAGCAAGATTGCAGGAAAAACAGAAACCAGCTGCTGAGAAATGGAGGATCTTCTTCCTTCCCCTGTATTTTCAGCTGCTTGGCTAAAGATAGATACAAGCAGCAGAATCAGAACCACATCTGCTCCCACAGGCCTGCCCCATTACATGTTCATTTCTGAGAATAAGTCCTCTTCTTAGGCGCAAGGATGATGACAATTTAATGTGACTGCTTACTACAGTAAAGTATCTTCCTACAGACTGCAATACTGTAAAAGGCAATAATGCACTCATTAGATCCACACTAGCAGACAGGAAAGTACCTCCCCATTTCACAGAGTCAGGAATAATTTTTAGCTTCTTTCTGATGGGTCCATTCATCAATTCATTTAGGCTGTCCTTATGCATATTTTTGACATGGCGTTGGTAAAGTCCAACTGAAAAAGAGAGAACACACTTTGGTTAGTGACACAACTAAGACCGTCATCCTATATAGATAACAATTTTCAATGTTACAGTCACTGCCAACAAACTCTTTTCTAATGAAAATGCCACATCACAGAGAGCAATTTGCTTACTTCTACTAGAAACCGCTGAAGTCAGCCCTCATTTAGGTCAGGGGATGAGAGGGCAAGAACCGAACCATCCATTTCTACTTTCGGCTAACACAGTGCTTTTTCAGGGGACCAGGTTCTGCTTTAGCCACTTGGTACAGATACAGTTTCTTTTCCTCAACAAACCAGTTATTTTTGAGCTTATTTTCACCTTACCTGCTGAAGCCAACAGAAAGAGATAAAGAGCTTGAAAGAAACTCTATACATGTGTTTTTTACATTGACGCACAAACATCATGGAGCATAAGAGCCTATATCAGACTATTTACATTGACGAGACATTTTTGTGTCCTAGCTTGAAGACAGAAATGAAACACATTAAGAGGAAGTAACTTAAAGGCCATAAAACTACGTCGCAATTATACTGACTACTTCCTTGGAGTAATTTGTGCAGGATGTATATATAGGTGGAGGTATAATCTATAGCAGGGTTGTTCCACATTCCTATTTATCCTTATTTATGCAAGGGCAAACAAGTTTGGCTCAGGAGAATATCAATATCCTTTAGATCTGAAGACCCCATTTTAAGGATGTGCTAAATTGAGGTTGTTTCTACTATCAGAGTTGAAGGTACGCAAATGCAAACATAGGACCTCAGAAGCTCAAGTACTTAAATACAACTTACTGAGATGGAGATTTTCTTGTTCATTTGATTTCATTTCTGGAACCTCCTTAGTCATGATGTTATAAAAGTTCACATTATCTGTGTTCTGAAAACACAAGATAATTTCAGTAACACTATAACAAAAACATTTCTCAGATATGAGGAACAGACTCTCTTCTGAAAAAAAGAGGTAAGTTCTAAATAAAGGATCCTGTGACCTGCCACTTTACCTACATGTCAGGAAGATACTTATGGAAAAACTTCGGTTCTACATTTTGAGAAGTGGGGGAGTTTTCTCATGTCCGTCTTGTTCACACGTGGGTTGTGCCAGAGATGCTATTTACTTCTCTGAAACAGATGTGAAGCTACAGGAAGCCTTACACCCTGCCAATGACTGCAGATTCTCATTACTCATTACAGAGAGCTGCAATGCCAGAAGATGCCTTCAGATGGTCTCTTCTGCTAGATCTAGTCTAGCCTGATGCTGCCTCTTGCTCAACATCCTCCCAACCTACAACCCTTCAAAATCTCAAATGCTTCCTCAAGAACATGGTGATAGGTATCAGCCACCCCTCTATTGGAACTGCTGACATCTGGACAAGTCCAAGAATTGTAGAATGACAGTTCTGATGCAGACAGCCTGCATCCAAAGGACAAGTGTGATCAGTGTTGCCATTAGAGAAGTTACTCGAGATTCCTGAAGCCCTGCTTTATGCAATTTTTGAATCTTTAAAGTTCTGATGCATAGGTCAGAAATCAGCTCACAACAGCAACCCTCAAAGAACTGAAGCGCTTGCACCCTGACAGTGATATCACAACTGGAAAAGACAAGCGGACTTGAAGAGAAAGGCAAAATGGGAACCACAAGTTCCTTCCAAACATTAAGAACTGAAACCACTTATGTGCAAGGCACTGTCTGTTATGAAACAAACAAACAAAAAAAAAACCCAACCAAACACCTACCCCCCCAAAAAAAAAACCCAGCAAGAAAAGGAAGTGGCTTCGGATTAGTCTTTCAGTTTGAGGAAGTCAAACCCTCACTTGTACTAAAACACAAAAAAGAGTAAAATTTTGGAACAACTCTTCAACAGAAAAAATAAGAGTAAAGCTTTACCTATCTTTTAAGCTGGAACTTGCTAATTAACAAGATGCAGTAACCCACAGTAACAGGGCACAACTTGAGGTTCATTTCCATCCTGTGCACCTATTGTAGTTCTTTAAATAAAGATCTATGCTTAACTTGAAATTTCTGTCTTGCTGGATGCAGTTTTCAATATTCAAAACAAAGCTTTCAAGGAGACATAGCTCATTTAAGTTGAAACCAGGTTCTATAGAAATCAACAGGATTAGTTGCATGCTCAAAATTAAGCATCTATTTAAGTGATGTGCCAGGTTGAAACCTTGATGCAATACTGCAAGCCTATGTGGGTCGCCCTACCCACTGCCTCTTATAATCACACAGGGTGCTCAGCAAACAAACAGCTCTTTTACATCAGCGCTGGGATAAAACATATACTGGCAAAAATGACTGGGCAGGGGGTTGGAGGATTCACTCCAGACCAGCGCTCATAGAAAGGATAACCTGAAATTGTGTACCTCCCCAGGCACCAGTCAGTTATTAATGCTGATCAAAGAAGATCTCACCTCTTCAATGACACCTTCAGCCTTGCCCCAGAGCTCAGTGGCCAGCACGTATTGATTTTTATTGATTGCATCCATTATTTCTTTGGCAACAGCAGTCACCTCTGCTAGACCATTATCATCAAGGAGAGACTGGAAGACAAACACAAAGGAAGACAGCTTTAATTATAATTTCATGTTCATTTCTTGCTAACAGTCCCCATGCATTCAAGGTTTTATTCTGGCTGAGATCTAACCTTAAAAAAATCAATGTCCACTCATACTATACAGCAGTACAAGTAATCAGGCGAGGACCAAGACTTTTAGAAGGTACTTACAGTGCTGTAAAGGTAGGGCCCCCAAGACAGCACGGAGTCTAAAGAAACAGAACAGATTTCAAACATCTAAGTTTTTTAACATACTATTTCATTTACTTTTCCTTAATTGTAGCAAGAATGACTGTGACAAAAATATATGGAGATGAATTAATCAGTAAAAAGGTACTGTCAGCCTAGTTTAGCCCAAAGGTTATGTACTACAGAGCAGGTTCTTTACAAATCCTGAGAACCAATAAAAGCACTGCAGTGTTATTAACCCTCTACACATTGATCAGTTAAATTTATTTAATGCAACAGACATGTTCTTACCAAAATGTTCTCACCCCAACACTGCAGCACATTGTTAGAACATGGGGAGAGATCTGACAAGTGAATGGGCATTGTCTAAACTGATCTGTTTGCAAAAGTTACAGGGAAAAAAACCCACTAATTGTAAGACAAATCTGTTTTATAACAAGTTCATTCATAAGGTCTCAAGGATCAGCTGATCCTAAGACAGACAGGAGTTTGCTTGATATTATCCCATGCTGCAGAGAACCTATGGAGCCTGCCCTTGCAAATCTCCTTGAAGGGCCAAGAGTCCTTTAATTTGTTTTTTGTCCTCCACCAGACAGACAACCTATCTCTTCCAGGTCTGTGAGTGCATCAGTTCCTCAGCTCAAGGTCTTCTTGTGAAAAGAAAGATAAAATCTCAGTTGCGACCTTGTGACTCATTTAGTGGCCATGTTTTAAGTGCAGTACTCTTACCAAATCACCTCAGAGGCTGTAGAGGTGTGTAGGGACATTTCACCACCACCCCACTTCAAATACAAGTATGGTCCTCACCGACTTTGCTCTCTGTCTTTTCATAAACTAGATATGTTCTAAAGGTAGATCCTTCAATCACAGTTTGCAATGTTGAAGTATTTCTTTTTGATTTACCAGACTCACCAGAGATTTAATTCACTTAATGCAGGGCTAGCATTGTTTATTCTAGGTACCCATGGAATGAGAAAAAAACCAAAACAACAACAACAAACCACGTACAGTCTGAGGATTTTAAACATACCCAAAGGAGAAATCCATGAGTCTCCAAGAGCAGTCCCCATAAAATTGCACTTTATGGTCCCTTTTTGAACAGCCTTGGTGAAAAAGGGGAAAAACCAAAAACAAACAAACCACAAAAAAGAAAAAATAATCAACTTTTAGGTAAATATTAATGACTCTAGAACCAGTTTTCTTTAAGTGAAGAAAATAGGTAGCACTCTGAATTGGGCAACATGGACAGTGTATTCTAGAAAATACAAGTACTTGCAGAACACCACGTTTCAAACTGAAAAGTGAACTACATCCTCCAGCTACTTACCTGCTGCAGCTCTAAAGCAATGCCAACAGCCATTTTACCTCCGTAAGATTCAGAAAATATGTAGAACGGGATGGTCTGAAGAGAGAGAAGCCACACAATGAACCCATTGTGCAGAAGGCAAAAGATACCTCCAACTGTATCCCACAGAACCCAGGCACTGGCTCTTCACCTCTCACTATCAAACACTGGATATTTTTCTGATTCTAAGCTGCAGATAAGATTTCTGTAACATCCTGGAATAATTACTAGGGGAACTTCTGAAGCAGGCACTTCAGTATTTTGGAACTAGAAACAGATGTGATCCCACATGCTTCTCAGATCACACAATAGACAATAATCCACCCTACTGCTTAGCTAACTAGCACCAAATTCAAGATACCACTTCTGAATTGTGGGAAATAAGAGGCAGTGATTATACTGCACCGACTCCTACCAAATTCATACTGCCTCGTAGCAAACACTGCCCATTTGGAAGCACGTTCACTAATTCCTTTTGAGATCTGTTTAAAAGCAAATAAAAATATGATTCTAACCAAGAATTCAAGTCACTTACCTGGAATTCTGTTCTACATGTGAAGAATTTTCCAAGAAAAACCATCATATCAGAAACTACCGTGGTAAGGTTTTTGGCAAACAAGCTACAATCATCCACATAACTGAATCCAGTGCCCACAGGATTATCCACAAACAAGATACTGGCTGCCTGCAACTGTACAAGCAGAAAGTAAGTTTGTATGAAACCTCAGTTCAGCACCAGTGCAAACCTTAGTTTTGATGGCACAAATGTTTAACTGAGCCACTAATTCTCTGGCGCTGAAAAAGACTGCAGAAAAATAAGGTGCAAGTCCAAAAAAGAGAACGGTACAGGTGAGACTTGTCTGTCAGAACATAAAATAAGAGGGATTTTCTTTTGGGTTGCTGGGCTTTTGTGAAATTTCTATAGCAAATGCCATGGGGTCTATAGTTACAAGTGTAGAAATAAAATAAATAGATCAGCATACAGATAGCTAGCATGGCTTAAATCGGTAAGGCTCACAAATAAAGAATACAACATAAGGTCTTTCAATTTGACCAATCTGCCACAAGAAAGTCACCCAAAAAGTCCCAGTGATCCAAGGGCAGATCACCCATACAATCTAGTTAGATTATTGGTAGCTCAGAGCACAAATACATTTCATTGAATAAGCTTCCACTTTCATAGGCAGCTGTAATTTGTCTTCCCTTGAAGGCCATACTGGACTTGTAATTACAAGCCACTGGTTACATGTTGCCAGCCATCCAGAAAAACCTCTATGACTGTACACAATGAAGCTACGATCTGAAATAACATCTTTCTAGAATGTCCCTGCTCTTGGTTTCCCAGACATCTGCAATTCGCAAATTCATGGAAACCCAGACATATTCCGTCAAATCAAATTAATAGGTCTATTCTTCAGTTCTTAACAGGGATATTCATAAAAGCAGTTCATTAACCACACTATTTTAAGACGAAATATCATAGTTCTATTGAATTTTAAATGAAAACTGTTCTGTGATGATAGCAATCATCTGCTCACACAACCAACAAACATTTTGCAATCAATAATTAGAAGCTGAGCTCTCCACTATACCCAGGTTGTATTTCTTGGTTTCATTTCTTTGTCTAATGGGCCAATCTCTTCAAAGTTCCCAAATCCACAGCCTGAAGCTCCTGGACCTCCCTGTGGGGAAGTAACAGATGACAAATAAGTTAAAATGCAGCATAGTACAGATATGACAGATAGGAGAAAAATAAAAGCCACCCAGTAAATAGAATGACAGATTGTAAATTTTAAAGAAAGGCTATTGCACTACATGTCCATTTGCAAAGAGAAGGCTTTCTTCCTCATCGTCTTTCACTATGTGTACCCATGCCATTTATAAAAGCAAGAATTTAAACAGAGAAGCAAGTACTCACTTGTGAAAGCATCTAATGAATTGCATGCTATGTGAGTGCAGTTTGAAAACCCTTCCCCTTATTCCCTTAATACGGATGCAAAAGTTAGCTATCTACAGAGGTTTGCAAGTCATTAGTTTTATCAGCATGTACAGCGTGTGCATTTCACTCTGAAGAAATAACCCAGAAGGAAAAAGACCAAGTCATCCAGTGATTATATTCAACATTAACTTCTGAAATGTACTGCTGAAAGCTAATGTGGAGCACACACCACTGCCTTTTATCAAACTGTGAATGGCACCAATCTCTAAACAGAGTCTCTCTTACTTGTTTTCATTTAGAAGTGTTTTTAAATCTCTGATCAGTTTATCTACTCTCTCTGAATGTTGTTTAGACTGTAAGCTCTTCAGGAAAGGAGCTTTGATGATACAATGTACTTCTAGTGTCTGGCACAAACTACACGACTGTTGTACAAGAGATAAGAACAACCTCTAGTTCTGCAATTTAACTTGATGTAAGGTGAGCAGCAGAGGACACCCCACACCTGCAGAATGACATTTTCGTTATTTCTTCCTAACCTGAATACCTTACTCACAAGGTGAATCATTTAGACTCAGACAATTTTGAATCATTTCTGTAGAGCTGTAAGATACCTCTCAGGCTGAACCAGGCACAGATGGAAAGCATTGTTGTTGAAGTGTCTTTCACCAAACCTTACCTGAAGCCACAAGATGAGAGGTAATTCTGTGAAGTCTTTGGTTGGGTTATTTGCATAGTAGAGCCACCAGAACATGTGGGCCTTACTTCGAACTTGCACATATCCCCACAACTCTTCGGGCTCTTGAGATTGCCTCAGAACTACACCTTGGGGGAGGGAAATAAAACAAAAAATCAGCTAGGTAAAAAGGCTCTATTTTGAGCTTTCCACCAGATTTGTTCCAAAACATTACACGTCAGTCTTGGGTGTGATAATTAGAGGAGGTTCCATTAAAAAAATTACTGTAAGAAACCAGCCTATACTTACACCCACACACATAACTTCATTCATTGATGATAATTCAGCTAAGCGTGTTAATTAAGAGCTTAACTACCAGGGCCTGACGTTACAGCAGCTGCCAAAATAGCAGCCCAATAGGTAGGATAATTTTTTCTATCCGGGAAACATTTAAAGTCTTTTGAAGACCTGGGCTGAAAGCACAGCCCCACGAGCCCGATGGAATAACACGCGTCAGCTTCAGGGGTGCCAGGGCTTCTTCAGCGATCCACCACTTAGACGTAGTCTCTGGGAAGGTCAAATCATTGTACAGTTCCGAGGAGAGTAAACGCAGGGTAGATAGAAGGGTCACTTCTAAACAAACACAAGACCTAATCCTACGCTCAGTTAAGTCAGTGGAATCTTGACGACTTAAGCAGTCCATCCAGGACACAGACGCTGTCCCAGAAATAGAACTTTGAAACTACATCACTTAAACTTCTCCATCACAACAGAAGGCAGCAGTCCACCGGAGAAGCAGCAATAAAGCTTTTTCAAGCCACGGTGGCTGCCCAGAGGATGCAGCTCTGAATAGGTTATATTGGGGCGGACAACATCACCCTTTCTTGATCAGCTCTCACTGCGGCAGCGGTGACACCCCAATATGGCTTTTTGCTCCTTGCAGCCGCCTGCCCAAAGGGTCCCACAGGTAAAACGCTGCGGCCGGGGACCTGTGCTCCTGTCAGCCAGTGTCACACAGCACGGCAGTAACCTCCTGCTCACAGGCATGCCCGCTTACACGGCCTCAGCATCCCCCGCAGCTGCCAAGGAAGGGAAGAGGCTCTGGGGGTCTTTTTCCGGAGGGACAGATGGCAGCTCCGGGTAAAACAGCGATGAGAAGCGCTGCCCCGGTTTGTGGGGAGCCTCTCCCACCCAGTTTACCCAGGTGAATCAACTGGGACCTGAATCTCCGCGTTCCTGCTCCAAAACGGGTCCTTGGGGCTCGGGGGAGCGCAGACCTCAGTCAGCCGAGGTGACCCCCAAGGTCGCGATAGTCCCCGGCACAGACACCGCGA